AAGAAAAAATCTTGATCTAATTTTTGTCATTTTGTGAGGTTATATTAGTTTCTCCTTCCCCTGAACCTTATATCTTTTTAGTTCTAGTGAATGTCTCCTTTCTGCATCTTGCTAGTTTGATCATCACAAGACTAAGCATTGCTCTCGTTGTACCAGGACAATGTTTTTGTGACTGTTGTAGCATCCATTCAGTACAGAGCGTTAGCAGAAAATGCAGCTGATGCATTTTACAAGCTCTCTAACACCAAAGGACAGATCCAGTCCTATGTTTTTGATGGTATGTTCTGAGATCTATGCTCTCTAATTGTTGCCATGGAAAGATGAGGAGCTTGTGGATGAAGTAGTATAAGTTTGACTTCATTTTTGCCCTTCCTCTGCCTCTAATCTACTCGCAACATAAGAAGTACGAAAGGGCTGAAAAGGGGGAGGGGGTTGAAAAAGTGTCATAAACTTGGAGAACAATGGGGTGGAAATCTGTTTAGTGATTGGCAAGCTGTCTTTTGATATACCACACTGTATATTTTGCTTAACCTAATCTATTGATGCATCTTTACAGACTNTGGTGGTCATATACAACAACAACCTAGTAAAATCCCACAAGTGGGGTCTGGGGAGGGTAGAGTGTACGGAGACCTTACCCCTACCCCGAGGGAGTAGAGAGGCTGTTTCCGGAAGACCCTCGGCTCAAGAAGACGAAAAGAGAGACAATATATCAGTACTATCGACAGAAAACAATAGAAATAATGACAGCAACATAAGAGGCTTCGTGACTGTTATATATATATATCATATCATATCATCATACTATATTATAAGTGGGAAGCCTCAAAGATAAAGTTGAATTACTAAATTACCCATTAAAAGTTAAGCGACTAATTTACCCTTTAATTAAACACTTTTATATTTTTTTAGTACAAAAAAATAAATTTACCTTTCAATTAATTGTAATATTATATTAAAATAAAATAAGATAAATAAATCCATACATGGCCGGCTGCAATTCTCACTTGTTATACCCTATTCAAGGTGTTGGAATTCCTTTCCTATTCCAATACTTACTGCAACCTTTAGAATGCCTATTTAATGTTTTGGAGTTAACTTTCAACAATAATTACAAACTTTAAACTAATATTACTGGGGAAGTTGAAGTAACTCTATACAATTTACATCAACCATTTTTCATCATTTATTTATTTGTTAAGTTAAATCATGTTCAAATATAAAAAAAATGGAGAACTAAGTCAATTAAGCAATTGTTCCTCCTGTCAAGCCATTATCATTTTAACAAAAATAGTTCTTCAAAATGGCATATCTTTTCATTGTCTGCAAAACACAAAACCAAAATATATGAGCCAAATCAGGTAAATTTATTTCTTTTTCAGATACTTTTATTAGTGTTTTGCTAATTCTACAGTTTATTAGGATATTTTACCTTGTTATGCTTCTGCGTAAAAATTCCTTGATAATTCAAATAATAAAAGGAAATTTTGTGAAATTCATGAAACATGCACCATAAAATTTTTTAACCTATTTGTGGTGCCGTTTCTATCAGTTCTTTAAACCTTACTTTCATTTTCTGTTTCATTCCCTTTCCTCTTTTGCTTTTTTATTTTTCATTTTATGATTTGATAGCAATATTTTTATTTTGTTACTTTTTGAGATGTATGATACATCATCTTCGATTGCATTTTTCATGTTCCTTTAGCACAATTTCTGAATGATCATATGATAAATTATCATTTAAGGTAATTTTCTTGGTGCCTTAACATACATGCAAGAACTTACATTTCATTAATTTTTAGTAAAGCTTTACATATAGTATTGCATCCAGAAATCTTTATCTAATTATGTAGTAATCAGAAGTAATATAATTATTTCTTAAGTACTATTCTAATAATGCGTTAATTAATTATATGTTTATTATGCATTCTAGATTACTGTTGTGGTTCTCTATTTAAAAACTTCATCTTTTTCTTTCATTTTTACGATCATCTTTATGAATTCTTAGATAGAAGGAAGCCAAATAAGTCAGCTCACCGAGTAGAATTTTAATAACGAATTTACCAAGACTCATTCACTCTTTCTTATTTTCTTTCTTGAACCTTTTTTTTTCTTTCTGTTAAAGAAGAAAAATATTTTAACCTTTAGTTAATCATATGATTATTAATTTTTTTTTTTGTTTTATAGTCATTTTTATAATTCACCTTAGACAAAAGTTAGAAATACATATCAATTTTGAGAGAATTCCAACAAATAATATACCAAGTATTCATAATATTTTATGGTTGATAGTTCTCTTCCTCAGAATTGAACTAATTAAAGCTTCTTCTTTTTTTTTTCTTGTAGATCAAATTAGTTGAATAGGTTCACCATTGATGAACTTGAGCTTATATTCTTCCTTTTTAAAATTCGGTATTATTAATTTGAGCTTATTCTTTTTTTTTTAAGAACAAATCGGTCGAATAGGTTAACCATCAATCAATTTGAGCTTATATTATTGCTTTTAAAATTTCGTGTCACATACATATTTTAATATTATCTATATTATTTTAAAAAATTATACTAATTGATATGGATATACGTGCAACGCACGTGTCTAGAAACTAGTGTGTGTGTGTGTATATATATATATATATATCTTTTCTGTTTATGTTCGAGATATTTGTATCCAAGTAATTCTTTCTTGCTATGTAGCGCAATGACTTTTTTATACTGAGCTTGAGGTATAACGCCTATCAAATCTCCTTTTAGTTATAAGGGCCAGTGTGCCACGATTGGGGTTGGATGCTGCATTTGAGCAGAAGAACGAAATTGCTAAAGCAGTAGAGGAAGAACTTGAAAAGGTTATATGATTTTTGCCTTAACGACCAGTTCTCTGTTTTGGTCTCTTTTCATTTTAATTATGCTAATATTCTTTTCCTTTTTCCTTAAAAATTGCAGGCTATGTCTGCTTATGGGTATGAAATTGTGCAAACCCTCATTGTGGATATAGAGCCAGATCCCCATGTCAAGAGGGCAATGAATGAGATTAATGCTGGTAAGGGCGAATTACATCTGAAGATAATTTGTTCGTCAATTGGATATCTGAATTTTAAGTGCTTGCGACAACATTGAGCTAATCATGTTCTTCTTGTTTCTTGTTCCTTTTTCACGAAAGGTGGTTGCATTGCCTAGACAATGACTGCATGCAATATTCTTTTCAGAAACCGTAACTATTTTTTTGTCATCTATTGCCTAGTGGTGCATGTGATTGTTCTGATACACCTTTGCTGGTGAAAACAGCTGCAAGACTACGTGTTGCTGCGAATGAGAAGGCCGAAGCAGAGAAAATATTGCAGATCAAGAGAGCTGAAGGAGAAGCTGAATCCAAGTATTTATCAGGGCTTGGCATTGCTCGACAGCGTCAAGCCATTGTGGATGGTCTTCGAGACAGTGTGCTTGCTTTCTCAGAGAACGTGCCTGGAACAACAGCGAAAGATGTGATGGACATGGTTCTTGTTACTCAATATTTTGATACGATGAAGGAGATTGGAGCTACTTCCAAGTCATCTGCTGTGTTTATTCCCCATGGACCAGGTGCTGTCAAAGACGTTGCTTCTCAAATCCGCGAGGGTCTTCTTCAGGCTGAAAGTATTCAGCATTAGTTTAACAAAGCTAAGGATAATTGTTAGTCCTGTGTGGTTCGTTGCTTTTAGTTCAGTCTTGATACGGTAGCTTTACTTGTGTTCGTGCTTATAGAATCCATAGATTGATGCATGCCACTTTTGGTTTTACCATCTGGTTTATAGGTTGTTTATCAACTATGCTGACTAACGAAGTTTTGCAGTTGATTATATTGCTATACGATGTGTCTCTAGGCATTTTTAGGTATTTCCTTCCGGAGAGTAAATGTCATTTACCTAGCCTATATTATCTGCTAGTAATTGAATTACCCAAAAGTTCCCTCCTATTCCGCCTTCCTTCTTATTTTGTATTGTACATTTTTCGCCTTTGTTTTGGTAGACATTTAACTTTCAACTATTCCATGGTTCTTACATATAACTTCTGAATTTATTTAGAAGTAATTTACGACAACTCTCTTTCCTAGTTATGACGAAAGAGGATACAACTGGTTGGTCCAGCCTATTCTTGAAATAAATTCGAAACTCCAGGCAGATGGCCAGTGGCCAAACGAAACGAAAAAATGGTTACATTTTTCACATAATCTCCTCTCTTGTAAATAGGCTAAAAAATTGTACCTTCTTTTTGTAGCACTTCGCTCCTCTTCTTATTTATTCTTATATTTTTTCTAATTTAGTTCTTCTAATGATCCAATTCAAGCACAATCAATAAGCCTTCTAGCTTCCGTTTCTTTCTTTCTTCCCATGCGTCTCTTCCCAAGAGTTGAAATTCTGATCTGTATATTTTGTGGCAATATATAAGCAAAGCAAGAGAGGAAGTTTGTTGAAGCTTGAGTGAGGAGATAAATACAGTAATGATCATGCTTTTATCATGTCTAGGTTCTACCCCTCCAACAAAAGAACGAATTAGCTATTTGAATAAATTAAAAGGTAAATCTTGTCAGAGTAAATTGAACATGACATATTTCCTAGAAAGATTTGGCTTTTCCGTTGGTGTGAGAAGGAGAGGAGGCCTCTCTCCATTTGCGTAGTGCAGCCTAATGAATGACGGTTGAAGTGGTACTCTAATAATTTGCTGTTTTCACAAGAATTAGGTGTTGGGAGAAGAAATGATGAAGATCAATATTCAAGTGGTATTCCTCTAATAATTTGCTGTTTTCACAAAAATTGGGTATTGGCAGAAGAATTAATGAAGATCAATTTTGTATTTTCTTTATTTATAGAAAGAGCTCGGCTCCTCCTTTATATGCTCAATATATTTCTCAAAGCCTTAGACCGTTGCATTCCCTCTGTAACAAACCCGCAGTAAGCCTAAAAATCTCCTTAAACAACAGGCTAGCTAATGACAACCAACAAACAATTACAGGAGTAGCGAGCAGAAACCTTAAACAGATGATGATCTTCAAAAATTGATGCTTTTAATCGGACTAAAATCTCGAGCAGAAACCTCTCAAGTGTTTAGGGATAAGGGGCACCCATCATCAGTTTCAAAAAAGGGGAATAAGAATGTACGAACTCAAAATGACAAAGACGTTGGTTGAAGCAACCACCCTAGAATTATTTTTACAGTCCAGAACCACCAAATAAATTGCCACAAACAAGTCTTCTAACTAGAACCCCATGTCTATAGGTGATTGTCCTATGGCTTGAGAGCCAAGGCCAGTCCAAATTTGGCACTTTTGTCAACAGCTTTGGTGTCCACTTCTCCTGAGATGGTGAAGAGTGACTTTGGACGCCACTCATGTTGGATCAGAGCATTTGCCTTGCCAAGGTTGTTAACTCTTGCCTTCACAGTGGTCAAAGGATCCAACTGATGCTGAGTTCCAACAGTGATGGTGTTCTCATTGGTACAGAAGCTGTGTGTCACCTCAGCACTAACAGCAGTCATAGTCAGGGGACTGACTATGTGGTAGTACGATGCACTCAACGCGTCTCCCTTGTCATTCCTGATATGTCACAGTACATCCATATTGACAAGTAAGCTAATCAAACACTGAATTACGCCTTTTGTAACAAATCTTAAATGCTCAACGGAGCATGGAAAGCAGGTTGACATGTTAAATACACCCAACGTGATAATACATGTCAGTTCTCAAGAAAGATATCCTACATTAGTGAAAACTCACAGATTCAAAGAAGCAATGAGGTCGGTATTTGTGAAGCTCAAGCCTGCATTACACTTGGTGATAGCTCCCACCTTGGTGTCAAAGGATAGATCAGTTCCCAGAGAGAGAAGATTAGTTCCCACAACACCAGAGAAGTTGACAATGGGGTTAGCTGTCAACCCAAGACTGGTGCTAATCCCAGCATAGTCATGCAAATATTGAACTTCCAGCTGTCACGACCAAAACAAATAACAAAATAAGCAGCAGCAATACAAATCGACTCTTTCTTATTTCTATAACATTTGATAGCAAACAAAGCTTAAAGGAAATAGCTGTTTACCTTTGCAGAACTCTGATCAGGAATTCTGAAGCTAAGAATTGTCTTCAACCCAGGAGCAGCTTCATCAACCGTAACAGTTGCCAAAAGCTAGCGTTGAGGACAAAATCAAGTCAGCTTACGATATGTGTGATGGCAGATATCTCAAGAATAAAAAGACAAATAAATTTGTGGTATATACGGTCTGAGAGTCGAAGAAAGAAGGATAAAGAAAGTACATTAGAAAACCAATCTATAATTGATCAAAGAAAGTTTTTAACGCTTGCAATATATGTCTCTGTTTGGGTTGTTCAAGGCACTTGTTGAGTCATAGCTAGAGGCCAGATGTACAAGGATCATTGTCAATAAAAACGATAATGTGACACACCACAACAGTAAGAGGCAAATATATCCACTTAAAAGGGAGTAAGCAGAAGTGCTCACATTTGAGTTTGTGTCTACTTTTATATCTGTTGTAACATTCTTGTTCTTCAATTGAGTGTTAACATCAGCCAGAAATAGATCACCTTTCTTCAGTCCTGATGATGTAATAGCCTACAAAAGATGAAGAGGTTTAAGTTGCAGAATAAATTGTAAGAAAATAGGATAACAAAGTACACGGATATATATCTCCACATATTTCAGTGAGTCTATAAGTACCGGTGCACGAGAAACTTGCAACTAGAATCAAACTAAAGCACGGTCAATATCCAGAAAATTTTCTGATGCAAAATGGACGGTGGCAAACAGCTCGAAGCTAGAGGTTACTATCATTTCCTTCATATCAGGACATAGGATGAGAAAACACCAAAATTCCAAAGTTCAGCAAGCACAAAAGATAGCATGTGTATCAGATAAGATATCACTACTCGAGTAACTATGAGAATAGAAAAAAGTGCTTTGAATTTCTACACATATTAACCATCCACGTTATCCTTTGGTTAGCAGGAAGTTACACACGAATTATAGTGCAGGAAGATGATGTTTATTGTTAAATTGGACAGAAGTTTGTTTCATTGGCCAGTCCATTAACTCAATATGGTTTCTCTATGTGATTAAAAATAACTAGTAATATTTAAAATCATCAATTTAAATTATCTCAAATAATTTAGTTATCTCAAATTAAGAATAATTTCAAGACAAAATTTAATATTTTAGAAATTTCTTTATAATTCGAAAACCGGCATTACAAAGACTAGTTGAATAAATGAGAGCAAGAGTTGGTTAGCTAAAAGTAACAGTCTAGATGACTTTTTTCATCATGATATACTCTATTGCAGGTATTGTAATACGCTTGTTATCCACAACTGAATTTGGAATTGAATTCAGTATAAACATCAATTACCACATAACTAATGCAAATACTATCAACATGGAAACCAATAATGACAACAAACACCTACAATACGGACAATATGTGGTAAAAAAAATGCTCCGTAATGTCTAATATTAGACTACATGTCAGTGAATAATTCAACCATACATGGATACAGATGTCTATGTGAATTCACTCATGAAAAAAAAAAGTAAATGTCCGTGAATTTATATTAAGTTAATACACGGAAAGAAAATCAACGAGCCAAATTTTCTATCATTGAACAGCCGCTGTCCAGTGTCACACATGGATATATAGAAAAGAACTCTAGCTAAAGAGGATAAAGAACAGATCCTCATCAAACTAAAGAGAAAACTCACAACTCCAGTAGGAGAGTAGGTAGTAATTGTGAATTTGTGGTCAGTCTGGTAGTCCCTGTACAGAAGATCTGTTCAACACAATACACAAACACAACATCACCAAAAGAAACAACAAATCACAAACCAAATAAACGAAATCAGTACAGCATTTCATCTATCGAACAGCAAAACTTAATTAAAAAAACTATATACAACTGCCTCTACTCTGGACATGTATATACCTACATACTTGAAACTTGCACCCAATTACCTCGAACTCAAACGAACATATATGTAATAAAACTTTATCAAAATATTTAGAGATACCTATACATTACACACACTCACTCACTGGTTTCATATTCTAGATCCATCTCCTCGCTGAATGAATATATATATATGTATACATATATATATATATATATATATATATATATATATATATATGTATTAAAATGTACAATCACTAGTTTCAAATTGCAGATCCGCATCTCCACCAATTATCTCCAACTCGAACTACACACACACACATAAAATGTACACATACTAATTTCAAATTCTAGATCCCACTTGACTGTAAGATTTTCAAAAGAAAATATCAAATAGGAGTAAATAGAAACGAACCTCGGGCCCTCTTGCCGATATCGGAGTAAAGTCCAGGTCCCTTGCCCATGTTTCAATCTAAAATTGAAGAAGAAAAGAAAATAAATGGAGAGAAAAAGCTCTGTAGCTATGGAGAAGCTGAGTGAAAATGTGGGGGAGGGGGTATATATACAAAAGCCCTAATTTGTATGACACTTTTGAAACGGTGTTACTGCGTGTACTTCGAGTGATCTGGACCGTTATATTAAGGCTCTGTAGTGTTGGCGTTTTGCTGAACGGTGGATTGTGGCGATGAGTTGTGGAATGTGAGGACACGTGGCGTGTAATAGTTTAAGTGTAGTGCTGGTTTGGAAGAGGGGTAGGATTTTTTTATTTCTTTGGCAACAAGATAATGGAGGACATGTATTGTTCATCACGAAAAGGTTTTTTGTACAAGATTTGCTTATTCAAATCTGTGTTCAGTTTTAATTTTAGATTAATTTACAAATTATAAAACAATGACAATTACAAAAAAAAAAAAAAACATATCGTAACATATTAAGTTTACTTTTATAAAGTCAAATAATATTTGTATTATTATAGATAATCATTTCCTGCAACACTTTCGCTTTCAATATGTCACAAAAATATAATATATTTTTATATTTACAATAATTTAACTTAAATATTTCATTTTAATCTTAATGAATGAATTATATTCACATTTTTCCTCTTTTAATTTCATTTCCAATCAAACATAAGAAATATGCTTTACAACACATATATACAGTAAAATGTTTACCTAAAAGTACATGGTGAAACTATAGTTGTATATGAATTAATGCAAATATTTCTTCAAACTGAGAACTTACATTATTCCCTCAAATATAATTATTCCAGATAAACTCATTTTCTCACCTTTTTTCAATCGGAATCATTGAGGAAAATTGCGAGCCAGTTTACTAAACTTTTTAAAACCTAATTCTCAGCAATATCATTCTATCTGCCCCTCTTTGGCAATGAATTGACCAAACACTCTCTTCCTATTGACATTTCCAGCTCAACTCTTTCTGTCTCCTTCATGTATACACCCTCGTGCTCTATTTTTTAAGAGAAAAAAGACATTAACAGCCACTTTTAAAAATATTATGATCAAAATGCTCCATTTATAAAATAAATATAAAAAAACGAAATACATAAACGGCCCATTTAAATTGACCTCAACGATTAGCCAGACACATCAACTGGCCCGTTTATCACTTCAACACTTCTTCTCCACTAAAGTGCGACCTCGTGAACCATTCACACTGACATGGCAAAATGTGTGCTTTATATTTAATTCTAAGCACGTGAAACCCTCAAAATTAAGGTTGTTTTCTTCTTCTTTATTCAGTTAAATTTAACTTTATTTTATGTGGACCACCATAATTTTTATGTGGGTCTCATTAGATTTTTAATTTTTCACACATTAATTTTAATTTCTTCTCAAAATATTTCATCTTCACCAAATCAGTAGCGCCTCTTCCTTCCGCCGTTAATCCACCTCCCCTTCTTCAGTCTTGAAAATAATGTAACAATTAATAACGGCCACTACACAATAACAATTTCATTGACCGCCCACAAAACTTCAATCCCATTTTCTGCAGCTTTTACTCATGGATTAGAGTTGTTGAGTCTTTGTAGGTTTTGTTCGTCGGAGAAAAATGGATGCTATATCTCAGGCTGGGGGAGGAGCACAGACTCCCACCGCCCGCACTCCTGAGCAGCGAGTCCATGTTGATCAGGTCCCAGAAATTATTCCTATACAACCTGCAGTCCCAGATCAGCCCAAGGATAGGGCAGCGGCTTCCGAGGATGAGCAACTGAGGCTTGAGAGGTTCAAGAACTACAAGCCTCCTGTATTCAGTGGTCTAGCATCAGATGATGCTATGTGATTTCTAGATGAGTGCTACTGTATCCTCCATACCATAGGTATATCTGGATCGAGCGGGGTTTTCTTCACTACCTTTCAGCTTCGAGGAGCTGCCTATGAGTGGTGGCGTACTTATGAGCTAGACAGTCCGGATGATGCAGCTTCCCTGACTTTGACTCAGTTTTTCAGATATGTTCCTGAGAGAGTATGTTCCTCAGAGCCTCAAGGATGCATAGCGCGCAGAGTTTGAGCATTTGCGCTAGGGTACTATGACTGTCTCGGAGTATGCTGTCCGTTACACTAACTTGGCTAGAGATGTGACTATTGGTGATGATAGGATATTGAGGATGTAGAGTCGGGTATGTATACCCAATATTGATGGTTGATCGAATCCAACCTTGTACTGCTACAAAGTAGCAAGAGAGGTCGAAGCAGCTTTTACCCGAGAAGGTCGGGATCAATTTCCACAATGAGCTAGATATTGGAGTTGAGTTTCTATCTAAATGGAAGTTGTGTAATTGTTCCTAATTGCACTTCTAAACATTGTTTGTTTTGGTTTTACTTCTAATTTTATACTACTACAATGCTAAATTATGCTAAGTAAAGCTAAGATTAAACTATTGAGAGTTGATCAAATAGATAAAAGGCACTAGAATAATGACTTTCTCCTAGGTGGTTAATTGGCGGATTCTTGAGTCTAAGGTTAGATTGTCACATTTGGGGAGTATGATATAACCATTGCACGATTCTACTCACTCTATACCTCTCGGTAGTTCAAGTGATTTTGCCCCAATTGACTTTCTCAAGACCAATTGGGTATGCAAATTTGTGCAAGCAATTGAGGTTCAAGTCGGGTATTACTATCTCTAGGTTTAACCCTTTAATTGGGGCTATCAATCTCTTGAATACGCCTCAATTCCTTGTTGGACCAATTTCATGGACTTAGGCTCTTTTTCAAGAAGAGCCAAAGTTTACTAGGCATAAGCTAGTGATTGCAACCACTAATTCAACATTAAAACCCTAAATTAGTCCAAATATCAAACACCCATAGACAATCAAGCATCAAAACACATGACATATCAATTACCCATACTAGGGTTGAGCCACAACCCTAGCTAATGGGTCTAACTACTCATAATTATAGAAGAAAACAAAGAAATAGATGAAGAAAAGCCCATAATAATTAATTACTAGATAAAACTTGAAGATTCAATGTTGAAACTAAGCTAAAATTACTCAAAATGGTAAAAGAGAGGAGTTCACGAGCGCAGCTCCGTCCCAAAATCTATCTAATGACCTAAAAATGGGAAAAAAAACTATTTATACTAGGCTAAAAATTCTGGACAAAAATACCCCTGCGGGGCTAGTGCGGACCACACAAAATCGAGTGTTGCTGCACTAAGGCTCTTGGCTTGACTAATCTCCTCTCTGAAGTTGTCCATCGCAGATCGCACAAAATGCACCGCGGCCGCGGTGGCTTCTTTTGTGGTCCGCACAAAATGGACCGCGGTCCTATTTGCATTGACCGTCTTTGATAATATACTCTTGATTTCCCTGTTTGAGACTTCAACTTGGCCACTCGCTTGAGGATGATAAGGAGTAGAAACTTTGTGATTGACACCATACTTTGCAAGCAAAGTGTCAAAAGCTCTATTACAAAAATGAGACCCCCCATCACTTATGATTGCACGAGGAGTGCCAAACCTAGTAAAAATGCTCTTCTTGAGAAACGCAACAACACTTTGGGCCTCATTGTTTGGTAAAGCCATGGCTTCAACCCACTTTGAAACATAATCAACCGCCACAAGAATGTATGTGTTCCCACACGAGCTAACAAACGGGCCCATAAAATCAATGTCCCATACATCAAAAATATCAACTTCAAGAATGGTATTGAGAGGCATCTCATCTTTCTTTGAAATTTCACCCGCTCTTTGACATTCATCACATCTCTTCAAAACTTCACTTGCATCTTTGTACAAAGTTGGCCAATAAAACCCACAACTAAGAACTTTGGAAGCCGTCCTCTCCCCGTTATGATGGCCACCATAGGGAGAGGAATGACAAACCTCTAAGATACTCAATTGCTCCTCCTCCGGGACACACCTTCATATCACACCATCCGTGCAGATCTTGAACAAGTATGGCTCATTCCAATGGAAATCCAAACTATCCCGTTTGAACTTCTTCCTTTGGTTAGAAGAGAGCTCACACGGAATTATACCAGTCATAAGGAAATTAGCAACGTCCGTAAACCATGACATACCATTCACCGACACAGAAAGGAGTTGCTCGTCGGGAAATGAATCATTGATCTCTAGTCCATCACGAGGCCTCCCCTCCTTCTCCAAGCGGTACAAGTGGTCCGCTACTTGGTTTTCATTACCCTTCCGGTCCACAATCTCCAAATCAAACTCTTGAAGTAACAAGACCCATCGCATCAATCTAGCTTTGGAATCCTTCTTTGTCATCAAGTACTGGAGTGCAGCATGATCGGTATGAACTATGACCTTGGCACCCATGAGATACGGCCAAAATTTCTCCATCGCGAACACAATAGCCAAAAGCTCTTTCTCAGTCATCGTGTAGTTCACTTGAGCATCATTCATTGTCTTGCTCGCATAGTACACCGGATGAAATATTTTGTTCACTCTTTGACCCAAAATTGCCCTAACTGCAACATCACTCGCGTCACACATAAGCTCAAAAGGCAAACTCCAATTGGGTGCGGTAATAATAGGAGTGGTGGTCAACTTGTGCTTGAGAAGTTCAAAGGCTTGCATACATCTCTCATCGAACACGAACTTGGCATCTTTTTCCAATAACTTGCATAAGGGATTCACTACCTTTGAAAAGTCTTTGATAAATCTCCGGTAGAACCCCGCATGACCAAGAAAACTTCTAACTCCCTTAAGGTAGGGGGAGAGAGCCTTGAAACCACATCAATTTTTGCTTTGTCCATCTCTATACCATGCTTTGAAATTTTATGCCCAAGAACTATTCCCTCCTCAACCATGAAGTGGCATTTCTCCCAATTAAGAACAAGATTGGTTTCTTTACAACTAGCCAACACTCTATCAAGATTTTTCAAACATTCATCAAACGAATCACCCACAACACTAAAGTCGTCCATGAACACCTCCAAAATATATTCCACCATATTGGTGAAAATGGCCATCATACACCGCTGGAATGTAGCCGGTGCATTACACAAACCAAAATGCATCCTAGAGAAGGCAAAGGTGTCATATGGACAAGTGAAGGTGGTC